GCCCTCGTATTAGAGGACGTGGGCACAGAGAGGGGACAGACACTGGGGGACATGGGGACAGCGGAGGGGGGCCCCGGGCGGGGAGGGGACAGCGGTGACACGCGGCCACCTCGCAGTGCACATCCAGGCCAACCTGGAGGACGAGCTGGTGCAGGAGGCCCTCAAGTCGGTGAGCCCCGTCCGTGACGCGCGTGTCGCCCCACACCCGGCCGTGTCCCCACGCGGTGACACGGGCGCTGTCCCCTCCCCGGGGACGTCCCCGCCGTCCCCTCCCCGCAGGGCGTGGACCTGCGCGAGTACTCCAAGCAGGTGGAGCTGGAGCTGCAGGAGGTGGAGCGGGCCTCCATTCGGGACTGTATCCTTCAGGGGGGGCCGGGTGGGGAACGGGGACACCTCGACGTCACCCGCGTGCCACCTGGGTGTCCCCGAGGCCTTATCCGCTGGGCCAGACATTGCGGAGAGCGAGAACATCGCCTCGCTGCACAACCAGATCACGGCGTGCGACGCCATCCTGGAGGTGAGCGGCGGCGGCGGGGACCTCCCCGGCGCGGTGACACTGTCCCCACGTCCCCTCTCTGGTGACAACACAGCGCATGGAGCAGATGCTGAGCGCCTTCCAGAGCGACCTGAGCAGCATCAGCTGCGAGATCCAGACGCTGCAGGAGCAGTCGGTGGCCATGAACCTGCGGCTCAAGAACCGCCAGGCCGTGCGGAGCCAGCTCAGCCAGCTCGTGGACGAGCTCGTGGTGCCGGCCACCATGATCAGGTGGGGACACCGCTTGGGGACCCTCGTGGTGACGGCGTCGCTGTGCCCTCCGCTCTCACGGGCCCTGCTGCCGCAGCACCATCCTGGACGTGCCGGTGACAGAGCAGGACTTCATGGAGCAGCTCCACGAGCTCAACAACAAGATCAACTACGTGAAGGAGCAGGCGTTTCGGGAGACCATGGCCTGCGCCGACGTGCAGCACGTCCTGGAGAAGCTCAAGATTAAGGTGAGCTCCTCGTGGCCCCCGGGGGACGAGGACAGGGACACAGGACGCGCTGAGGCTCCCTGTGCCCTCCCTAGGCTGTCACCAAGATCCGGGAGTTCGTCCTGCAGAAGATCTACTCCTTCCGCAAGCCCATGACCAACTACCAGATCCCGCAGAACGCCCTGCTCAAGTACAGGTGGGTGGTCATAGAGGGGTGCGGGGGTGTCTCGGGGGTCCCAACGTGTCACCGTGTCCCTTCTAGTGTCACCGTGTCCCTCCGGCAGGTTCTTCTATCAGTTCCTGCTGGGCAACGAGCGCTCCGTGGCGCAGGAGCTGCGGGAGCAGTACGTGGAGACCATGAGCAAAATCTACCTGTCCTACTTCAAGTCCTACACTAGCCGCCTCATGAAGATCCAGGTGGGACTGCAGTGGGGGTGATGCAGTGAGATGGGATGTCCTGGGTCACCACTGACCCCCTATCTCTGTCCCCTTCAGTATGAGGAGGTGGCTGAGAAGGATGATCTCATGGGCGTGGAGGACACGGCCAAGAAAGATATCCTTTGGTGACCATTGTTGGAAGGGTCGGCTTGAGTTAGTTGGGTTGAGTTGTTTGGATTGGGTTGGTTGGGTTGGGTTGAGTTGGTTGGATTAGTTGGGTAGGGGGATTGGGATAGATTGGGTTGGAGAGTTGGGTTGTGTTGGGTTGGTTGAGTTCTATTGGGTCGATTGAGTTGGGTTGCTTCAGTTGGGTTGTTAAAGGTTCAGTTGGGTTGGTTGGATTGGCTTGGGTTGAATTGAGTTGGGTTGGTTGGATTGAGTTGATTTGAGTTGGACTAGCTTGGGTTAAGTTGGTTGGATTGGGTTGATTTAGTTGGGTTTGTTGGCTGGGTTGGGTTGAATTGAGTTGAGTTGGTTGGACTGGGTTGATTTGGGTTGAGTTGGTTGGATGGAGTTGATCTTGTTGGGTTGGTTGGTTGGGTTGGCGCCCCCCCACCCTGTTGCTTCCTTGACCCCCCAAGCTTGGCCCACGCTTCTTCTCCAAGCCGTCGCTGAAGAACCGCAACACCATCTTCACGCTGGGCAACCGCGGCGCCGTCATCAGCACCGCTGAGCTGGAGGGGCCCATCATCGTCCCCCACACCGCGCAGAAGAGCGACGTGCGGGTGCGCGGCCGAGGGGACGGGCAGCGGGGCGGGGGGCCGTGCCCCGTTGGGTGACGTCCGTCCGCCTGTGCGTCCGCCTGTGCGCAGTACCCCTTCGAGTCGCTGTTCCGCAGCCAGCACTACGCGCTGCTGGACAACAGCTGCCGCGAGTACCTCTTCCTGTGCGACTTCTTCATGGTGACGGGGCCCAGCGCCCAGGACCTCTTCAACGCCGTCATGGGCAAGACGTTGGCCATGTTCCTGGTGAGCGGCGCGRCCGTGGGGTGGTCGCTGGGGTGACGCGTCACTGATGTCCCCTCCGTCGCCACRTAGAAGCACATGGAGTCCTACGTGAGCGACTGCTACGACAGCATCGCCATCTTCCTCTGCATCCACATCGTGCTGCGCTTCCGCGCCATCATGGCCAAGCGCAACATCCCCGCCGTGGACAAGTGAGTGGGGACATTGGGACAGCGGGATGTCCCCAAAGGGTGGTGGAACCAGATGGGGACCCAGGCGTCCGGGTGCAACCCTTGTAGGTACTGGGAGACGCTGCTGGAGACCCTGTGGCCCCGTTTCGAGCACATCCTGGAGCAGAACATCCAGAGCATCCAGAACACGGACCCGCAGAAGCTGGGCTTCCTCGACACGCGGCCCCACTACGTAAGGGACACGAGGGATGTGGGGGGATGATGGGGTGGCGGTGGGGCCACCTCCGCTGTCCCTGTCCCCCAGATCACCCGGCGCTACGCCGAGTTTTCCTCGGCCATCGTGAGCATCAACCAGACCTTCCCCAACGAGAAGACCCACATGCTGCTGGGGCAGCTGCAGGTGAGGGGGGTGAGGGAGGTGACACCGTGACAACCCTGGGTGACACGGTGACCGCCCCATCCCTTGCCATGCAGGTGGAGGTGGAGAACTTCGTGCTGCGCGTAGCGGCCGAGTTCTCCTCCCGCAAGGAGCAGCTCATCTTCCTCATCAACAACTACGACATGATGTTGGGTGTCCTCATGGTGAGGAGCACCCAGGACAGAGGGGACACCCTGGGGGGGGTGTCACCCGCACCTTGTGACCCGCTGTGGCCCCCCAACCCCTTCCTGATGGCAGTGTGTCTCCCCAGGAGCGGGCGGTGGAGGAGAGCAAGGAGGTGGAGGGCTTCCAGCAGCTGCTCTCGGCGCGCACCCAGGTTTGGTGGCCACCACGTCGGCCGGGTGGCACCCAGGCGGGACACGAGGGGTGCCACCGCGTCCMCCCGCTTTGTCGCAGGAGTTCATCGAGGAGATCCTCTCGCCGCCCTTCGGAGGGATGATCGCCTTCGTGAAGGAGGCGGAGGCGCTCGTGGAGAAGGGGCAGCTGGAGCGGCTGCGCGGCGAGGAGGGTGAGCGGCGCCCGGGCGCACACGCGCGGGTGGCCCCCAGCCCGCGTCACCCACGCGTCACCACCCCGACATCTCGGCCGCAGCCCGGGTGACCCAGCTCGTCCGCGGCTTCTCCAGCACCTGGAAGGCGGCCGTGGAGGCGCTCAGCCAGGACGTCATGAGGTCCTTCAGCAACTTCAAGAACGGCACCGGCATCATCCAGGTGACAGCAACGGGGGCAACCACGGTGGCCCTCACCGCGACGTGGGGCTTGACGCCACCCTCTGTCCCCCCGTCCCCGCAGGGCGCCCTGACGCAGCTCATCCAGTACTACCACCGCTTCCACAAGGTGCTGGCGCAGCCGCCGCTGCGCGCGCTGCCCGTCCGTGCCGAGCTCATCAACATCCACCACCTCATGGTGGAGCTCAAGAAGCACAAGCCCAACTTCTAGAGCGGCCCCGGGGCCACAGGGTCCCCTCCAAACGTGGCCCCACCAATAAAGGTCCCCACTGGCAACGCTGCTTCTGTGGAGTCTCACCGTGGGGTGGCGRCAGGGTTGAGGGGACCTATGAGCACGATGATCTGGTCACCTCATGATGATGTTGTGACCACCATAACACAATGGGGTCTTGGGTGATGGATGGGGACAGGGGAGGGGTGTCGTGTCGCGTCATGGAGACCCTTGTGCCACCCAAGCACAAGGCGGGCTGTGAGCGCGACAGGTCGCTCTGCTTGAAGCCACCGTCATGGTAGACACGACACTGGTGGCCACCGCGCCAGTGACACGAGGAGATCCCTCAGTCCCTGGGAGGATGAGGCCACCAACGTGGCCACCCCAACCCYGTGGGTGGGGTGCAGGGGACGTGGGTGACCCGGAGTGACCGTTACCACCCACTGGGGGTCCGGGACCTGACGCACCCTTGGTTGACGGTTGGTCACCGTCCTCCTTCCCTTCGGTGACCTTATCCAGGGCCACCCCTCCCGGGTGGCCCTTGGCACTGCCACCCCCCAGCCCTCCCTGCCCCTTTTCCCACCTCTTTTCCCACCCTTTTTCCTGCCCCCTCAGCCCTTTCTGCCCTTTTCCCGTCCCTCAGCCCTTCTCGCCCTTTTCCTGCCCTTTTCCCGCCCCCTCAGCCCTTCCTGCCCCTTTTCCCGCCTCTTTTCCCGCCCCCTCAGCCCTTCCT